CTACCGACTCTAGCTACTATAAATATCTCCTCCTGTATTGCAAAGTCACATTCGAGAGAAACAAAAAGAAACAAGCTACTAAGTTTTTCTCTCTTCTATTTCTCTATCGTATACTTTTACTAGTCCTGTTACTATCTTTTCTATTTATCATCAAACCATCAGAAACGTTTCATTGTAATTCTGATTGGCTTATTGTTTGTTTGTTTAATTCTCTGATTTGCTAGAGGAGAAATCACAGAACAGAGAAGAAACCCAGAGGATGACCAACAGCATACGGTGTTGTTAGATTCTGTCGAACAGATGTTGCTTGGTACAAAAGAAAACAAATCTGAAGCCTCTGAAGCCTCTGCTTTCATTATAGCAATGCAAGTCTACGAGGTATGCAAGAATGTAAACTAGCATATTGTAAAGCCTTTCTCCATCGTACTGCCAACCCGAAAACAACCATGCACGAGTGCATCCAATTCTTGAAAAAGAAAGAACAAGTTGCTCGAAAGTGCTATTCCGAACCCTTCGGAGAACTCCTTACAGATGAGTTTGTGACAATGATGTTAGTGGATGGTTGTTTCATTCTTGAATTGCTTTATAAGTATAAAGAGCAGCGGCAACAACCTCCCAGCAACACCACCAACGAGGACCAGGACCCAATATTCAAGGAAAATTGGAAGTTCCCACAAATATTAAGCCACATTTTATTACTTGAAAACCAACTTCCCTTTTTTATCCTCAAGTCACTATTTGAAAAAACCATTGGCCTCATGTCATCAAAAGATTCAGAACCAACGTCCCTCGAGAAACTTGCATACAACATCTTTAATATCATATTTCCAACAGACAATAAGATCCCAGTTACTGATAAGGCCCCTATATTACATCTTCTCCATCTATTTCGCCAATTTATATGTTGTCCATCGGAATTGAAATTGAAAAACAAACATGACATTCGAGTGCCCACGTTAAATTATTGTGTGACAGAACTCAAAGAAGCTCGAGTCAAGTTCAAGAAGAAGAATGCTGCTAGCTTCTTAGATGTAAGCTTCAGAAATGGTGTATTAGAAATACCAAATTTAGTTGTTCCGAGCCACACCGAATGCCTACTTTGAAACATGATCGTATTTGAGCAGTGTTATCATAATTGTACTCGTCGGATCACATCTTATCCCTTCTTAATGGATAGCCTCATCAACACTCCCGAGGATGTCCAGTATCTCAATAAGAAAGGAATAATCACGAATGTCATGGGCAACCATGAAGAAGCATCAGATATGTTCAACAATCTTCGGAAAGGTGCTTTCATCTATAACTTCTACTATACTGAGCACTGCCTCTCCATTAATAAGCATTCTGAAAATCGTTGGAAGGTATGGAGAGCAATTTTCCAGCGTAGGCATTTTCAGAATCCATTCACGGTTGTCTCACTTATTGCTGCAGCATTACTTCTTTTTCTCACCCTTATACAGACCTTGTTTGCTGTGCTTTCTTTCTTTTTCCATCATTCTTGACCCGTTGCTTTGGTTGAACTGCTCCAGCTGGGTGTATCCAAACATATTTACAATCTACCCTTTCAACGGTGGGCGGTGGAACGATAACCATGTCAATATCTTCATGCAAGTCTACTACTGTATTGTTGAAACTGTCATGACTTTATGTTGTATCATTTCATTTTGTCCTCCGGGTGTGATTTCATATTTTAGGTGTGACTTTATGTCTTAGTTGAGTAGATACATATGTTAAAGACTTTGTTCTTCCTATAAAGTATTTTGCTATATTTCGTGTGACCTCTAGTATTGTGACCAGCTCTGATTAGGGCTACACACAAATAAAAAAAATGAAAGAAAAAAAAAATCTCTTATTAGGGGAACATTCAGATCATCTACCCACAAGAATCCTACCCATAATTGTACATTGGAAACATCTCTCCATGAATCAATGGTAACATGCAAATAGGGGGGGAGATGTTCTTCATGTAGAGTTATATTGAGGCCTGGGTAGGAGATCCATACTCGCAACCCAGGCTGGGATCGGGCTCATGCTACTTCAGGTCTCAACCCTATCTCAACCTAAATTTAGTCCAAGCCTGAGGTTTTTAATCCAGGCCCAGTCCACAGCCTGAAAACCTAGGCCCACCCAAGTTGCACTTCTAATTTCAATTAGGTTAAAGATTTGGAATTTTTGATGATGTAATAAAACCAGATGATTGACATGTAAAATGGGAGGAGCCAAAAAAGGAATCTAGATCAATGATTAAACTATTGATACAGAGTGTATTGTATCCATATCAGTCGTATCAATATCTTAACACAGATTTGCTTCCTAGAAAATACATTCCAACATAGTCCTACATTACACATCTAAAACATGGTGAATCCTAGTCTCATAGTGAGATGTGATGTGTCAAACCCAATTGAAGGCATGTTGGAACAGTTTTTTTCTAGGAGTAGATCCCAACAAGCTCAAAAGCACCAGATTCAGAATTCCAAGATAATTAGGATTTATTTAGTAGGGTAAATTGCTGAAACCTCCCTAGAAATTTCTGAAAATTGCTGAAACTTCCTCTGCTTTTTGCTAATAATAGTTGTCTCCCCTCAAGTTTTTGATATATATCATGGCATCTACATCTCTTTTGTTATAATCCTAATCCCCAAACTAAAGGTGAAAAGTTAAAAATAGCCCTATAGCATATTTTCATGTGAGTTCCACACAATGGATAGAAAGATCTTAGGCTCCTATATATAAAGTAAAGCAATGCAGGTTAGCATTCTTCTACTTTCTCCCTTCCCTATTACTTGCCTCCTCCCTAACTCTCTCTCTCTCTCTTTGTCTGAACTAGTAAGTGTGCACATGCTTTGCACGTTACAATTTTTTATAATGATGGTGATGATGATGATAGTAAATAATATATTTTTAAATTTTTTTGTATTTCTATGTTTATAAAAATTGTTCATATTTGTCACATTTATTTTTGTTTAATATGATCAATATATGATATAATAGATGTGCCCAAATGTTTTATACATTTTTTTGGATCTTATATAGTTTTACGTGTTTTTATATTTTTTAATTTTTATTATTATTTAACTATGGAATCAAGGGTTGACACATCTTGACTCAAAAGGGTGAATTGTTGATTCGCCACCAAACAAGAAAACAACTTCATTTTTGGGTTGGTTTTAAATTTGTAAATTATTTTTATCATTAATGAAAAATAATTACTCTTTGCCACAATTATTTTTCTTTAATATGGTTAATTAATATAGGATTCAATGAAAGAATGTAGTAGTTCAAATTGCATTTTGTGCCCTCAATTAGAGAATGACCAAATTAAAAAATAGGAGTATTCTAGTCAAGATTAGGATTCAATGAATGTTAACGAGAGTTAATATCTTATATATAAAACTTCGTGAGAGAGATTCAAATGAGGAGAAAAGTGGTTGTTCAAATTACATTTCTATCCTTACAATTAGAGAGGGAAGAAATTCAAATAATAGAGTATTTTAATCAAACAAAAGTTCCATACTCTAATTCAAACTTTTAATAGTAGTATAGATTTTACTTTTCTAAATCCACCTCATTATCGATCCCCTATTTACTTCCAATACTTTTCCTTTATATATAGATTTAGTCTTACATTCCTATTTTTTCTTCTTTCCTGAATTAAATAGGTTTCTATACACCAAATTTAGATTTTTCAATTTTTCTTCCATAAATAGAGAATGTTTGTTGAATGTTTCATTCTCCACCAGCCACTTGAAGTTTCAATTGCAGAAACCATTTTACAAACCATCCCTCTCAATTACCTTGAAGTTGCAAAAACCATGTCATTTGAAATTTTAAAGTAATATATGGAATGAGTAAAGAGCAAAGATGGGTTGAGTGTGAAAAGACAAAAAGAATGAGAATGGTTCATTGTTTATATTGATGTTCTATTAAGAAGGATAGTGAAGAAGCAATGCAAGATGGAAAGAGGCAAAGCCCAAGAAATTTATTAGGAAGCGTTGGGAAAGATAGCCTTACCTAAGAAGGGGGTGAATTAGATAGAGCTAAAAAAACTTTGATTGTCCTAGAATTTAAACCAAATTCATAAGCTCTTGACAACCAAACTCACAACCCTTCCCTTCAAATTAAATCTAAGCCTTATAACAAATAGTATGCAATGAAAGAGTAAAGGCTTAGTCAATAAGCCTTCAACAATATAGTAGCAGGAGCTGCAGGGTTAGCACTGCTAACAAAAGGATAGAAACTCATAAATAAATTAAACAGTTAAAAAATTACAGCCTACTATTAGGTTAGTGATTCTATAGTTAATAAACAATAAGAATAAAAAGTATAAGTCTAAGCATTAGAAAACAACAAACTTGGGCTAATATGGAGTCACCACCCATCAGTCAAGTGGAATAGAGGTGATGGGACCTCCAGGAATTGCATCAAAAATAATTTTTATTTATAGCGACTCCAAGACCCAATGCACTAGCTAAACTATTACAGGTAAGACTTGGATGGGAGAGGAAAGGAGTTAAGCACCCCACTCCCGAGTTTAGGGATGTCAATGGGTCAGGTTAAATGGTAAAACCGGCTTGGCCCGACCCTATAAGGTCAGTTTAAGGTCATGCACATTTGGTTTTAGGGTTGGTTTAGAGTTTTAATACTTCAACCTGAATCAGGTTCGAGTTTTGCTAACCTAATACATATATATAAAGTATTCTTGTAACCTTTTTACACCTAACTCTATAGCCTTAAAGTTTAAGATTTATTTACATGTTACTTTTGGTTTTCTATAAAGAAATTTTCTAACTTAAATTAATGGATTTTAGATCTTTAAAATGTGTTAAAAGAATATAGTTGAAATGTTACAAGTTGGGTCGGGTTGGTATTAGGTTAGACCCTATAGGGTTATATCGGGTTCGGTAATTATGCATCTTTTAGTCCGGTCAAGTATGGGTTAAGGCACTAGATGATAAGGCTAGGGTTAAGGAAAAGCTGTGCCGAACCCGACCCATTGACATTCCTACCCGAGTCCAATAAGTGGGGTCTACATGGGATTTCAAATAAGCATAAGCACAAAATATAATTCTTCAATTAACTAAGAGCATATTAATAAGAAAAACAAGTTAAGAACAAACCATGACAAGAGGATCTCCCTATTCTTATTTATATCTATTTTCTATTATTTTTAATATTATTTTTTATTTTAAATTTCATAATAATTTTTTATATTGATATATTTCTTATTTTTTATTTTCTTCTTTTGGTTTTATTAATTAATTATTTATTTATTATATTTTTATGCTATTCTCTTATGGAAGCCTATTTTTTATTTTTTATGGAATTATTCTTTATTATTATAATCATCATCATCATCTTTTACTTTTTTATTTTTGTTTTTAATTCTTTTTTTATATTTATAATTATTTTACTTCACTTTTTTATTACTGTTTCTCTTTTAACAACTTATTCCCCTCGTGTCACCTGAGTATGTCCAAGCCTAGTAAACTGATCTACCCATTTCACCTTTTCCCAATTTTTTATCATGTTGTTTATTCTTCCCTTTTTATTTTTATATTCTTGTGGTTGAATTAATCTGTACCTCTTGGCCAATCCCCCTTCAAAACTTGTCCTTGTCATCATCCCCTTTCTTTACCCTTTTTGCAAACTAGGTCATTTTAGCAAGTCAAATTACACATTGTAAGCTAAGACATGAGAACCCAAACATCAAATTCAACTAGTAAACAATTACACAGGAATATCTGAGCTAAGATGGAATGGACCTCGAGCATTTTAAATCTTAAATGAAAGGGAAGAATGATTAAAGCAACTAGCTGTTAATATAGGAGAAGCATTAACATCCGAAACTTATAAGGTCTTTCTCTCAAACTGAACTTCATTTCATAAATCATAGTAAAAGAAAGGAGAAAATAAAATGAAACAAATGGGGGAATGATATCAAAGAAGAAATGATAACAATATATGTAAGAAATAAATAGAGAGGAATGTGGGTGAGAACAAAACTCACATGAATCATATGTTGGAATAAAATTGAAAGTTGCAATTGGAGAACTGATTGTTGGAAGGGTTAGAAATCAGATTAGACATAGACGAATAAGGTTTAGAGGCTGGACAAATTTCTAAATTTTTTCTAAACCGTACTAGCAACCGATTTCATGGTAATTTTGAAATCAAAAATTTTGTAATCAATTTTATACTAAACTAGACCAGATTAGAAATCTGAACTAAAACTAATTATACTTGATATGTAGACCATAGTGTGCAGCTCCTAGAGTGGTAATTCACACCCAATATCACTCCCAAAATCAACCTCCAATTGAAAATGAAGTAGTGTGTACATGAAGCCGATTCAACAACACCATTTCAGTAAAATTAGTTCCCAACTTACTTGGATCAATATAGGTGTGTGTGAACCTGATATCCTCTGATGATTTTCTTACAAAAACACAATAGATAACTAATAGAAATCAGCCCCTATCACAGCTGGGTCAAATTAGAG